TTGCTATAGAGAGGAGATACTGTCTCTCTCTCTATATATGTATTCCCTCCAAAACTCAAACCATGTTGAGTTATTTGTAGTTTTCTTATACATTGTCCATTCTCTTTTGTTAGGGTTTTTGCATATGATATTCTTTTTGTCTGAGTAACTTGCACTTTATCTTCCAGAATGCCGGGATATCTACTAATTCTTCACACCCCTCTAAATGGAGCCAGTCAATCTCATTTCAGAATAACCTTCTTTAAACCTAATTCTCTTCTTTCTGTATGTGGCGCGTGCAATCCTTATGTTGGCAAATGGAGCCAGTCAATCTCATTTCAGAATTACCTTCTTTAAACCTAATTCTCTTCTTTCTCTATGTGGCACGTGCAATCCTTATGTTCCAGTGGATGCCATTTCTTGAGCATTACCTGAGGTGCATCCTAAAGCACAGATTCTGTACCCCATCCCACAGCTACAGAAGCTATGTCTCTGGGGCTGGACCCAGAAATCTGCATTTTTGTTATGCTTACAAAAGGGATTGATAGCCTACATTTAGGTAAACATGGCTAAATTATCTTCCCTGTAACCATTTTCACAAGCAAAAGTCCTTATTACACAAGTGTTTATGCTCACCTGAGGGCAAAAAGGTGAATCTAGCCTTAAAGCCTTGGAAATGATTTATACTATCACTTTTAAAATGTGTCACCAGGGATGATCCAAGATGGCCGTTTAGGAACAGCTCAGGATTGCAGCTCCCAGTGAAAGCGCAGAGGGTGAGTGGACGCCGCGTTTTTATTGCCCACAGACAAGGAAATTCCCGGGTGGAGGTGCTCCACGGTCGCCAGCGCGGCTGTTTCGGACAGCGCGGCTCTGCCGGCGCCGCTGCTTTGCCCCGTGTGGCTGCTTTGTCGGCGCCCCGGAGCCACGGCTCTCCGTACAAAATACACTGGTCCAGGGGCCCTTTTGGCTGGCGATTGGAGCCACGGGAAGTCGCCCTTACGCTGGTTCAAAAAGGGGACTGAGCAGAGAACCAGGACAGTAGATTCCAGGGCAAAAAAAAAAAAAGCGCCACAAACCTCAGTGCCGCTGTTTAAGCCAGCGCAGTGAGTGGCCGCAGGGGAAAACAAACAGACCCCGGCACCTCTTCAACAGGCGGCTGGAACACGAACTTAAAAAAGGCTCTGAGGCAGGGAGCCAGGTGATCAGGCTCGGCTGGTCCCACCCCCACAAAAGAACAGCAACCAGAAACTCTGGATTGAGAGTTTCACAGCAAGCACAGCTGAACCCAGGACGGTCCAGCTCTGTGGGGGAGGGGCGTCCGCCATTACCGAGGCAACCCGCCATTGCTGAGGCAGCCCGCCGTTGCCAAGGCAACCCGCCACAGCAGAGACTCCGCCCCAACAGAGGCGGGCCACCATCGCCAAAGCAGTTCTAACTACACCCATATAAACAGGACTGCAGGGAAGTTCACTCATCAGCGGGGCAGAGCCCACAGCAGCTCAGCAAAGCTGCTATAGGCCGACAGTGACTAGGCTGCCTCCTTGCTGGGCTGGGAAGGTCTGAAGGAAAAAAAAAAAAAAAAAAAAAGAAGGCGGCAGCATAATGGAAACTCATAAATAAAGCCCTAAATCCCTGGGACAGAGCACCTGGGAACAAAAAGCAGTTTATGAGTTCTGCTGCAGCAGACCTAAAAGTACCTGCCCAGCAGCTCTGAATGAACAACAACAGAGCTCGCAGCTCACCATTTGAGCTCCTATAAAGAAGAGACCGTCTCCTCAAGCAGCTCCCTGACCCCTATATATCCAAAAAGACACCTCATAAAAGAGAGATCAGATTGACACTAGGCGGGTATCCTTCTGGGACAAAGATAGCAGAAGAAGAAAACTGGTAACAATCCTTGCTGTTCAGCAGCTGCTGCAGGTGAACCCCAGGCAAGCAGGGCCTGGAGTGAACCTCAGCAGTCCTACAGCAGAGGGGCCAGACTGTCAGAAGGAAAACCAAGAAACAGAAACAACCTCATCATCAACAAAAAGAACGTCAATCTGAAAGATTTGAGACCCAATCTGAAAGCCAGCAACTACAAAGTCGACAGGTGGATAAATCCTTAAAGATGGGAAGAAACCAGCACAAAATGGATGAAGACACCCGAAACCAGAACACCTCTCCTCCTAAAAGGGATCACAACTCCTCACCAGCAAGGGAACAAGGTTGGATGGAGAACGAGTGTGATGAAATGACAGAATCAGACTTCAGAAGGTGGGTAGTAAGAAACTTCTGTGAACTTAAAGAACATGTTCTAACCAAATGCAAAGAAACTAAGAACCTTGAAAAAAGATTTGACGAAATGCTAACAAGAATGGACAAAATAGAAAGGAATATAAGTGAATTGATGGAGCAGAAAAACGCAACACGAGAACTTCGTGAAGCATGCACAAGTATCAACAGCCGAATGGACCAAGCAGAAGAAAGGATATCAGAGGTCGAAGATCAACTCAATGAAATGAAACGGGAAGGCGAGACTGGAGAAAAAAGGGTAAAAAGGAATGAACAAAGTCTCCAAGAAATGTGGGACTATGTGAAAAGACCTAATCTACGTTTGATAGGTGTACCCGAATGCGACGAAGAGAATGAATCCAAGCTGGGAAATACTATTCAGGATATAATCCAGGAAAACTTCCCCAACCTAGCAAGGCAGGCAAACATTCAAGTCCAGGAAACACAGAGAACACCACAAAGATTTTCGTCAAGAAGAGCAACCACAAGGCACATAATCGTCAGATTCACCAGGGTCGAAATGAAGGAGAAAATGCTAAGGGCAGCCAGAGAGAAAGGTCGGGTTACCCACAAAGGGAAGCCCATCAGACTCACAGCAGATCTCTCAGCAGAAACCCTACAAGCCAGAAGAGAGTGGGGGCCAATATTCAACATCCTTAAAGAAAAGAACTTTCAACCCAGAATCTCCTATCCAGCCAAACTAAGCTCCATAAGTGAAGGAAAAATAAAATCCTTTGGGAACATGCAAGTACTCAGAGATTTCATCACCACCAGGCCAGCTCTACAAGAGCTCCTGAAAGAGGCTCTACACATATAAAGGAACAACAAGTACCAGCTCAACTAAAGGGCAAAACACCCAGCTAGCACCAAAATGGCAGTATCAAATTCACACATAACAATATTAACCCTAAATGTAAATGGACTAAATGCCCCAATCAAAGGACACAGACTGGCAAATTGGATAAAAAGACAAAAGCCATTGGTGTGCTGTATCCAGGAAACCCATCTCACATGCAAGGATACACAAAGGCTCAAAATAAAGGGATGGAGGAAGATTTACCAAGCAAATGGAGAGCAAAAAAAAGCAGGAGTTGCAATTCTCATCTCTGATAAATTAGACTTTAAAGCAACAAAGATCATAAGAGACAAAGAGGGACATTACATAATGGTAAAAGGATCAATGCAACAAGAAGAGCTAACGATCCTAAATATATATGCACCCAATACAGGAGCACCCAGATACATAAGGCAAGTTCTTAATGACTTACAAAGAGACTTAGACTCCCACACAATAATAGTGGGAGACTTTAACACCCCATTGTCAACATTAGACAGATCAACCAGACAGAAAATTAACAAGGATATCCAGGACTTGAACTCAGACCTGGACCAAGCAAACCTATAGACATTTACAGAACTCTCCACCCCAAATCCACAGAATATACATTCTTCTCAGCACCACATCACACCTACTCTAAAATTGACCACATAATTGGAAGTAAATCACTCCTCAGCAAATGCAAAAGAATGAAAATCATAACAAACAGTCTCTCAGACCACAGTGCAATCAAGTTAGAACTCAGAATTCAAAAACTAACTCAGAACCGCACAGCTTCATGGAAACTGAACAACTTGCTCTTGAATGTTGACTGGATAAACAATGAAATGAAGACAGAAATAAAGATGTTCTTCGAAACCAACGAGAATGAAGACACAACATACCAGAATCTCTGGGACACATTTAAAGCAGTCTCTAGAGGAAAATATATAGCAATAAGTGCCCACATGAGAAGCAAGGAGAGATCAAAAATTGACACCCTATCGTCAAAACTGAAAGAGCTAGAGAAGCAAGATCAAAAAAACTCAAAGTCTAGTGGAAGACAAGAAAATAGCTAAGATCAGAGCAGAACTGAAAGAGATAGAGACACAAAAAACCCTTCAAAAAATCAATAAATCCAGCAGTTGGTTTTTTGAAAAGATCAAAAAAATAGACAGACCACTACCCAGATTAATAAAAAAGAAAAGAGAGAATAACCAAATTGATGCAATAAAAAACGATAAAGGGGATATCACCACAGATTCCACAGAAATTCAAACCATCATCAGAGCTTATTACAAACAACTCTATGCACACAAACTAATAAACCTGGAAGAAATGGATAAATTCCTGGAAACTTGCCTCCTGCCAATCCTAAACCAGGAAGAAGCCGAAACCCTGAAGAGACCCATAACAAGGTCTGAGGTTGAGGCAGCAATTAAGAGCTTACCACCCAAAAAAAGCCCAGATCCTGATGGGTTCACAGCTGAATTCTACCAGACATACAAAGAGGAGCTGGTACCATTTCTTCTGAAACTATTCCAAACAATACAAAAAGAGGGAATTCTTCCCAAATCATTTTATGACACCAACATCATCCTGATTCCAAAACCCGGCAGAGAGTCAACAAGAAATGAAAACTTCAGGCCAATATCCATGATGAACATAGATGCAAAAATCTTCAATAAAATACTGACAAGCCGATTGCAACAGCACATCAAAAAGTTTATCCACCATGATCAAGTAGGCTTCATCCTGGGGATGCAAGGCTGGTTCAACATACACAAGTCTATAAACGTAATTCACCACATAAACAGAACCAAAGACAAAAACCACATTATCTCAATTGATGCAGAGAAGGCCTTTAACAAAATTCAGCAGCCCTTTATGCTAAAAACACTCAATAAGCTAGGTATTGATGGAACGTATCTCAAAATAATAAAAGCTATTTATGACAAACCAACAGCCAATATCATACTGAATGGGCA